ATGATGAGGGGAATCATATTGTTAACCTTAAAAGTATGGGCCAAGCATTACACTGCTGTGCTTGCAAAGAAGTTTTGAGTTTAGATAATATAAATAATGAAGTGCGCAAAGGACTTTTCTCAATACTTCATATTAAGTGCCATAAATGTGGAATTCAAAATGAGGTTAACACTGGCAAGAAAGTTGACTTAGATGGCCACTGTTACACAAATGTGAATCTTCAAGCTGTCCTTGGTAAGATATGAGTTTTTGCTTGCAATTAATTATAACAAATTTTTCTGTTTTATTTAATAATATTTTATGTTATCACTAATAATAAAAAAATTTGTTTGTAGGTGCGATGCACTCTGGTCTTGGATGTACTGGTTTGAACAAAATTCTTGCATGCCTCAATATTCCAGTCATAACAATGGATATGTTCAAAAGATATGAAAGAAAAGTCGGATTAGCCATCGAAAAAGCAGCTGTAGAAAGTTGCCAAAAAGCAGCGTTAGAAGAAAGGCACCTTGTGATAAAGAACACTCAAGAGCTTTGTGATAATTTGTAAGAATTATCATTTTTTTTGTATGAGAATATTTGTAAATTTTATATGCACATTTTTGAATATTCTTTTGGTTAATTGAATTATATATTTATACTGAATTGTAGCTGCGATTTAACTTTTCAATTGTATATTGAATTGTATATTATTGCTTAATTTATAATACATCAATAATGGATTGATATTTAGCTGGGATAAACCTTTATATTTTATATTTAATTGAATTTATGTATTTTACTTGTCATTAAAAAATAAAAACAAACATTACTTAGATTTAAAAAAATAAACATGATTTTTTTCCTTAATATATAGCCATAATTCAAATACGGTTTTTATTTTATTTATAGACCAGCCGACATTGTTCGCGATCTTTATCCTCACCTAACGATTCTTCAATCCTCTAATCAAAGAAGTCCTGAATTTGACCAAGCATGCAGTAGTATTGTAAACATCATAGTTTCGTACGACATGGGCTGGAGTAAAAGAGGCAACGGTCGCAGTTATGACAGTCTGAATGGTTATGCAGCAATAATTGGATTTTTAAGTCATAAAGTTTTAGATTATACAACACGAAATCGCAAGTGTTACAAATGTGATATAGGACATTCGAAAGATGACCACGATTGTCGAGAGAATTTTGAAGGCAATGCAAAAGCGATGGAAGCGGACGCCGGAGCGCAATTGATCAATCGAAGTAAAATTCTTCAAGAAAATAATTTAAATGTTGGAGTTTTGATTGGTGACGAAGATAGTAGTACGATTGCCGCAATACGAAAAGAAAGTGGCAAAGTCATTCATAAATTGGCCGATAAAAATCATTTAGTTAAAAATTTTGTAAGTGAATTGTACACACTATCGAATTCCTTCAAAGAATTAAAAAAAAGTGGTGTTATAAATCATTTAAAAAAATGTTTCACGTACGCGATTGCTCAACAAAAAGGACGAACTGCAGACCTTGCTTCTGCAATAAGAAACATCCCGGATCATGTATATAATAGTCACGAGAATTGTGGCGAGTGGTGTAAGCGATGTGACGATAACACACAGCAAACTATTGTTTTGAAAGATGAAAGTTTATATTTAAGTCTTCGAGAAATATTCGAAAAATATGCAAATAATGCTGCAAAATTTAGCGTTGTCGCATCCAGTCAGGCAAATGAAAGCCTAAATAGCATGATAGCTTGTAAAGCACCAAAGATGAGATGTTACAGTAAATCGCAGTCTGCGGATTTTAGAGTCGCTAGTGCTGTTTTAAGTAAAAATGAAGGTGATCAAGGAATAATAAGGGTTACACAATTATTAGGTTTACAAGCAGGTAAATATACATCAGCATATTGCCTAAGAAGTGATAAACTTAGAATAATAAAGTCATCTAGAAAAGTTACGAGAGAGTCGAAATTGAGGCGTATTCAGTTAGCAGCAAACAGACAAAATTTACGAAAGAAAAAAGAAAGAAGAGAAGGTATTACATATAAGACTAACTGTGGGATAGAGATGACGAGCGAAAAAATAAGCATTGAAGAAAAGGTTGATGATAGAAGTACAAATAATACGACTAAAATAATTTATTTTGATTTAGAAACAGCAGGCTTTGAAATAGAAAGTGATATATTACAAATAGCAGCAATATCCGAAGCTTTTGAATTTAATGTATACATTTTACCTAGTCAAGCGATTCCTATTCATGTAACCAAAATCAATTCTTTACATAATAAAAATGGAGATTTATATTTCAAGAATAAAAAAGTTGATGCCGTTACGCTTGAAAATGCATTACTCGCGTTCTCAGAGTTTATAAATATTGTATCTCCATCTTGTTTGCTTGTTGCGCACAATGCCCGTTTTGATGTTCCTCGATTACTAAATGCAATTACAAACTGTAAAATCCAAGACAGGTTTCAAATTGTAACTGGGTTTTCAGATACGTTAAAATTGTTTAAAACAGTGTATCCATTCCGTAAAGGCCCAGGTGCCTTCAAATTAATCAATTTAGCACAAGATCTGCTTGAAACTCAGAGTCCTGGATTTTTCCATGAAGCTTTATTTGACGTTCGTGTATTACAACAACTTGTAAAGGTTACTTCCAAAGAAACAGACTTATTCATTTTTGAAAAGAAGTTTGAGAAAGCAATCGAAGAAAACAAAATCAACAAAATTATCAATCATAAAGTATTGGAATTGGCTCCTTTTAAAAACATCGTTTCTCGTGATATAATTAAAAAAATAGCTGTCGCAGGGATAACATTCCAAAATTTAAAATCAAAATTTTCAAATGAAGGAGAAGATGAAGTAATCAAGTTTCTTTCCAAATGTGATAGTAGCCGTAAGCCTCTAGTAACTAAGAATAAAAAAGTTCTGACGAAAATAATTGGTTGTTTAAAAATATGTTAAATGTTTATAAATAATATTTTTAAATGTTTTTAAATGTTTATAAATAAAAATATTAATATATTATTTATTGTAAAACTACTCTGGTATATTTATTTGATATCCTCATCTTTTCATGCACTCATATTTTATTCGAATTATTCGTTAATACTCGTAATAACCTAATGTTACTATAAATCAATTCAACAAAAAGATTTCTATTGCATAAATCTCCTCAATTTTCATTTATGTAGCCAGCAAAATCCGGAATTCGTCAATTCATAATGTTATTGACAAACGGAAAAAAAATATATTTCGACGGTACACACTATACTCAAAGAGTATAGTGTGATTTACGCGCGATGTCTGCTGGGCCGCCAACGTTGCCACGTCACCACAGCACTTCTCTTTGCGCATTTTTCAGGCATCATGATAACGTACTTTTACTTATAATATCTCAACAACGAATATGAATTGCTCTATACGAGTTTCTGCTATTCGATATTATTGAATATCATTAATAACATATTAGTTTTTCAAAACAATGACAGTTTTGATGGAGATGTTATAAGCGAAAATGTGGCTCTCGCGGCGACCTTTCCATAAAAGCCCATGTTAAAAAGCGCAACTTCCACAATGAATATCTCGAAAACGAATATGGATTGTCTATCTCAAATTTGGAGACGTAATGTATGTAAGGTTTATTAATACATACGCGAAGTCTAGAGAAATCGACAATATTCCTTAAATTTCACCAAATTATTCGTGTCAATGGTGGTCCAGAATAGGATTCACCGCCACATAAAAATGCTTTGTGCCCGGAATAGAATTTAATTGATCTTTGTTAAGGGGCCTTTTCATGCTGACGCTAGACGCTGGATTTGGGCGTCAAAACTGGTCACGTGACCAACTTCATCGGTAAGAAGGCGAAATAGCATCAAATATGCGAGCGTCAAAACAAGCAATTGACTGAAACGAGCGTCAAGCGTCAAAGCTGAACACAGTTGAGCTTTTGCCATTTGACGCTGGAATTAAAAAGACTATCACGTGACCTATCACGTGATCAAGTTTGACGCCCAAATCGAGCGTCGAGCGTCAGCATGAAAAGGCACTTTTATTTCCATCGAATTTGTTTCTTTTTACCGTTTACGGTTTTACTGATTATTGCGCGACTGTATGTAATTTTTTAATTTGTATCGGCTGAAGAAGACCCTGTGCGGTCGAAACGTCCCGTTCTACATATACTTATGTTTAATAAACGAACTTTAATTTGACATCCACGTCTATGCGCTTGATTGTTGGCCTTTATTCTTACAGTTAATTGATCTTTGTAAGTCTGTTTCAACTTCTTAAATGTTTCCATCGCATTGTCCTAGAGTTTGACACAGAATTTCATTGCACAACGCTGTTCGATTTTCTTGTGTTCCATTTTCGTGACGCGTCACCCAAACATACAGTTATACAAATAATTGTAGAATCACATGTGTTAATGTTATCAAATTGAAATTTTAACTGAAAGTAGAGTATGAATGTAGCTTTCAATCTACTGCAGTCTCGTTTTTTACAGTGTTACCCAGTTGTTGAGAAAAAATTCAGTCTTATTACTTTTTAAACAGACCACGTATATAATATAAAAAATAATTTTGCCTCTTGTAAAAATATCTGACCAAGGATATTCCAGTGTGTTCGGTCAGTATAAGACTGCATACACAGTATACGGTGCACAATCATAATATATTCACATTCACAATTTCAACAAAAAAACATGGAGTTGATAGTCCGAATTTTAATAAAAAATTGCTATCCTTTAGAGTTCATCTCTAAAATTATGCATGAGTGTCTCAAGTATCTTTTTACAATCTAACATTTAACAAAAAGAATGTATTAATGTTCCAACGATAGCTGTGTTTCAAGTCCGACAAATAATCGGCGCGCAGTTAAATAAGTTGGAAAAATATATAATATGTATATGTTACGGGCAAAGTCCGCATGGTGTCGGCATTGCCCGAGCAATATCAGCATTGCATAACGCGACTGGGCAAAGTAATTTATTAGCGGAAATTGCTTGGCTTGATGTAGGCGAAGTTAACACTGCCCATCCAGCGATGGCAATGTCAGCAATTATTATCACATTGCGGACTTTGCTCGGTTCCAAGTGGACAATGTCGAAAATTAACAGTTAGCCTTATGTAGGCAGGGGAGAGGCTCCGTTTCCACGCGAGACGAGTTGCCACACGGGTTTACAACTTTCCACGCATGAAAAGTTCACGCATGTACTTTGCAAGGCACATTATGTGTTTAGTTTAACGGTAGTGGAGCCCCCCGCAGGGGGGGGGGGCTGAACCTACTGCCTCCACGCATACACTTTTCACGTGAGACGAGTTGTTACATGGGTTTACAACTTTTCACGTGTGGAAAGTTCACGCATGTAATCAAAAACATCCGCATCACGTTACGGCTGCATCAGTAAGCGTCCACAACGCATTGTGGCATTTTTACATTGCCAAAACGCGTTGTGAGCGTTTTTAAAAGTGCCACGATACAAATTTCGCGTTGTGACCTTTTTGAATATGCCACAACGCGTTGTGATTGGTTTTTTCGCTCAGTGAGCGTTTTCGGTCTTTGAGCTTGACATGTCCATTTAGTGCAGCTTAGTCCACGGAGATTTAGGGCCAATTTCACCAACCACAGTTAGTTTAACCGATGGTTAAAGTTAACAGAATTGACCAATAGAAATGAATCCACCCTGCTTTCTATTAGTCAATCCTGCTAACTTTAACCGTCGGTTAAGCTAACTGTGGTTGGTGAAAT